GGGAAGAGTAGAAGCAGGGCTCAGAGAGGGATTTGAAGGGTGGATCAGGCCAAGGTGAAAATTCAATCCTTTATTGGCAGAACCCTTAGGAGGAGACCCTGTGGAAGGCTGTAACAGCAATCGGGACAGCTCAGAAAGTGGGAGACATGGATGGATTTAACAGACTTGGAGTGGCACCGATGAAGGCAAGTGGGCTGTTGGCCTTCTTGAGCCCAAAAGTCGGCGTAAGGTATTTGGCAAGAGTGCGCCAGCCGTTCTGTCCTGTTCCCTCTGGTTCTATTCATTCCAACCGAGTAATAAAGGGATTTTAAAAGAAGGTATTCTGAGCTAAGGCTGGAGATCGGTTTAGTAGTCATTTCGTCCTTGATGGCTTTTGTGCGTTCTGCGTAATGCTCTATGCATGCATGCTATTTGTCACTAGAAAAGCAGGTCTGTGGTTTATGCTTGTGGGTGCAGTGAAAAATTAGAAAGATTCAACCTCTATACAGTACTTGTGTATTTTTGCATTTTTTCAAGTTAGTGCCTAAGTACTTTTAATTTCTTACTTTACCATATTTATAGTAAAATCTTTATTTTATTCACCCTTGTTTTTTTGTTTTTTTGGGAGCAGAGTCTCACTCTGTTGCCGGGCTAGAGTGCTTGTGGGTCAGCTAGCTCACGCAACCTCGGACTCCGGTCAGGTGATCTTTTCTGGCCTCAGGCTTCTGAGTACTGGGAGACTACGGTGTGTACACCAGCTTGGCTAAGTTTTTTTTATATATATATATCATTTTATTGTCCAGCTAATTCTTTCTATTTTAGTAGGACTTGGCGTCTGCTTTGTCAGGCTGGTTTCTAACTCTGGAGTTAAAAACCATCTTCCGCCTCAGCCTCCCTTCAGGAGCGCTGAGGTTGACAGGTGGGAGCCATGCCAGGCCTTTTCCACCTTTTAATCCAGTCCCAGATACCATGAGGACTACCTGCTTTCTTGATTAAGCAGGTAATCTAGGTATCTGGGAAGTGATTAAAGGTGTGAAAACGAGCCTGGCATGGTTGGCTCCACCTGTAATCCTAGGCTCCAGGAGGCTGAGGCGGGAGCGATGTTGTTTGTAACGTCAGGAGTTTCGAACCGCCTGGAGCAAGAGCGAGGACCCAGGTTTGTCTATAAAATATAGAACAGAATAGCTGGACCATAAAAACTATAATTTTTTTTTTTTTTTTTATATATAAAGAACTTAGGCCACCATGGTGGTACGACACCTGTAGGTCCAGTACTCGAGCCTGAGGCGAAGGATCAGCGGTGAGCCCAGGAGTCTGGAGGTTGCCTGTGAGCAGGCTGACGCCACAGCACCTCTAGCGGGCAACAGAGGAGATCTGTCTCCAAAAGCAAAAAAAAAAAAAAAAAGGGTGAGAAAATAAAGATTTTACTATAAAAATATGGTAAATTATATGAAATTAAAAGTAGCTTAGCACTAACTTGAAAAAGCTAAAATACAAGTACTGTATAAGGTTGAATCTTTTAATCTTTACACTGTCACCCACAATACATAAACCACAGACCTGCTTTTTCTAGTGACAAATAGCATATTGATAATTTAAGAACGCACAAAAGCATCAAGGACCAAATGACTACTAAAGAATCTCCAGCTTACTCAGAATACCTTTTTAAAAATCCATTTATTATGGTTGGAAATGGAATAGAAAGAGGGAAAAGGAGAGAAGGCTGGGGTTTGTGCCAAATACTTACGCTGACTTTGGGCTGAGAAGGCAAAGTCCCACTTGCCTTCATGGTGCTCACTAGCTTGTTAAATGCAGTCATGTCTCCATCTTTCTTGAGCTGTCGATTGCTGGTTACAGCATTCAGGGTCTCCTCTAGGTGTTCTGCCATAAAGGGAGTTGAATTTTTCACTTGCTGATCCACCTTCAAACCCTTGAGCCCTGCTTCTACCTCTTCCACTGACAGTACAACTCCTGAATGTGCTGAAAAGTTGAGAAAGCCCAGGTTAAACCAAGCAGAGATATTTGGTAGAAATTCTCTTTGGCTACAATGGTTAAGGGTAAAATAATTTATTTCGCAATTGAATTGAATCTGTCGGAAAAGGCTAACACCAAATAGAGAAATTGAAGACAATGAAAAATCATAGTTAGTGGGAATAAGGCTATAATTGTGTACTTAGTAAGAGACAACATAAAGTAAATCTAAAATATTTAGATGCTAGAAACTGGAGGACCATAACCATGAGGTGTTAAGCTTTAAAACTTGATAAGATGCTGCTATACATCCTGCAGAAGGATATCTTATGAGTCTTCTGGAGACTTGTTACCTGGGACAGTAATCCCAGATAGTCCAACATCAGCAAGATTGATACTTGCACTATGGATATTATATCACTAAGTTTTTATGTTGCAGGCTTATAGCCTAAGAAAGAACATGGCAGATTGGGATGAAGTAGTGAGGAACTGGCAAGATACGCTCCAGAGAACTAAAGCATTCATTGGAATGTTATAATCGGGGCCTAGGTAAGAACCTGGAAGAAAAGTTCTTATCATGGGGCTCATGAACGACTCACTACCAGATTTGAGGTATTATTATTTGATAAAATGAGTTTTGTTTTTTTTTTTGAACATTAAACAAAACCCATAATATATCTGACTTGGTGAAAAAGTGTATTAGAACCAACTGTCTAAAGAATGAGCATCTAGGCCAGGCGCAGTGGCTCATGCCTATAACCCTTGCACTCTGGGAGGCCGAGGCGGGAGGATCATTTGAGGTCAAGAGTTTGAGATCAGCATGAACAAGAGCAAGACCCCGTCTATACCAAAAATATAAAAAAATTAGCTGGGTATGGTGGTATGCACCTGTAGTCCCAGCTACTTGGGAGACTGAAGCAGGAGGATCACTGGAGCCCAGGAGTTTGAGGTTGCAAATAAGCTAGGATGATGCCACTGCACTGTAGCTGGGGCGACAGAGCAAGACTCTGTCTCAAAAACAAAAACACAAAAAAAGAACGAACATCTCAAACTTGAAACAGCCCTTTTCAGATATCTAAAGCAGATTCTCACGAATACTTACAGCTCTCTTTCAGTTTTTCTTTATTTGCAGAAAGGCTGGAAAGAAGAGGTTTTAAATCCACTTTGGCTTTCTGAAGCATTTCTAAAATATCCACTTTATTTTCAGCATGGTCTTCCAATGGTATAGGAGCAAAATAATTCCCAGAGTTTTGTCCAGGAGAGAGGATGGCTTGCTCCAGACCTGATATTGTAAAATATACATTCATAATTAATTGGTCCCAATAAAACACAAAAACTTATCTTTAACAGTATTAAAAGGACACAAATTGATGTCTTTTCAGTGTCCAAAGACCAAAGGACCCCTAAGTAATAAAGGCAGAATTAATTATGTCAGAGAAAGCTCAAGTCTACATTTAAGGCCAGAATCTGAAGCCATTTTACCTGCGAGTTTCTCCAGTTCTTCATGTGGTGTTGACCCAAGACTGCTGGATTGGCTTCCTGATCGACTCGGGTTAGAGAACCACCTGCTGAACCGACTGGCAGAGACTGACCCTTCTCCCAAAACATCTTCTATCATCTAAAGAGAAAGACAATAGGAGCTAAGATAATAGTGTCTAGGTGAAAAAGGACAAAAAGGTTCAAATTTTACAGAAGGGTCACTTACTTTGAAACTTCCTTTGATGCTGCTGACCTGAAGGTAAACACTCTCAGAACTTAGGATTTTTAACACCTTTAATTTTTCTTCCCCTTCCTGGATCATTTTGGAGTAACCCAAACTTGGGTATAACCAACCATGTATTTTCTAAGAATATAAAGCAAAGCCTCTATGCCACAGAGAGTGTTTTGGCTTTCTACTCTTTGCCTCATTAGAAAATCCATGTACTTGGGAGGCTGAGGCAGCAGGATTGCTTGAGCCCAGGAGTTTGAGGTTGCTGTGAGCTAGGCTGATGCCATAGCACTCACTCTAGCCTGGGCAACAAAGTGAGACAAAACAAAGTGGTCGGTCAAAAACAAAAACAAAAAAAAAATAAGGGAGAAAAAAAAACAAAATCCATGGTTACTACTGAGATGTTCGTCAGAGGACGTGGTTTCAAAAGTCAAGAATAGCACGCATTAACTGAGACCACTTCCAGGCCAGGCTGCAGAAGAGGCTGGGCCTTGCAACTAAACATCAGGTATGGGGAGAAGCTGATGAAAGGAAAACGCCCCCCCCCCCTTGCTTCAAACTTGGTGTGGGCTCCGCAAGTTTGTTAATGAACATATGTAACAT